CTTTGTTAAAAAAAAGGATAATAACGCGAATTACAAAAAATAGCATAAATTCATTAAAAAATGAGTTTTTAAACTTGAATTCGTGCATTTCAAGCGTGTCTTATGAAACTAGTTTTTTAATATGCTATTACAGCCTTAGAATTGCAATATACTGAATTACGCCCAAAAAACTAATCCATAAGTAGGCAAAAATCGCCCGACCGGACATAAAAAGAATTGCGCATCTTTTTTAAAATGTGCGGCATTTCTGCCTCATTTACCCTAACTAATTCAAACCCTGTTTTAAAAAGCAATAAGAAAAGAAAGCATAATCGCGATTATTGGTCTAGTGCCAAGAATAAATTACCACGACAAAAATGGACTTTATTTTGTGGAAGGAAAAGGAATGAAGATGGAAATATGAGATAAGGAATAATTAAAATTAGATGTAATTGTAAACTATCAATAAAAGAAAAGTGATTAAAATGTAAGGACATAAGGGACATTTTCAAGGAATTTTGGAGATAAGTTGGCATAAAAAATGTCTCTATACTTGCATGCTGATAAAATAGGTGAAACAAATTGTAATATGTTCCTATATATCGCAATTAATTAGTGCAGCATTAACAAACATTGCTTCAATTGAATTAGTTATTAATTGGCTAATTAACTACATATTGAAATCAAAAGGAAACTCACAAGATATAGATTGAGCAAGCACTAAAAAGAAAGTAATCATGGTCCACAATGTGTGGCAAGCACAGTGAAAACTAATGTTAGTGCGATGTAACTATCTTCGAGAAAAGAAATGCCTGATTTCTACTGTTAGATGTGCCAATTTTTTTTTCATTTAATTTTGCCAAAATGGCAAAATTTCCTATTAATTTATTGTCTTATTAATCTCCCAATCCTCTCTAAATTATTTGAAAAAGTAATACCTACAACTTAAACTTCAAGATTTTGACTCATCAGTTAGTACATATTACTAACTTAAAAAATACAAATGATATAATAATAATAAGATTCAAAAATAAGCAATAAATCGATGCCTTACTAGATATTTTCAAAGATTTTGATTCCGTGTAGTTAGATAATACTAGTTAATACTTCATACCGCGACAAAAATTCAATGAAAAAGCTTTATTTGCTAATAATGACTCAAAGTAGCAATGTTATTGAACAACTTTAACCCCTAAATTGGAGTATCCATATGCTTTATAATGCGCTAATGAGATCACTGATGAGTCATCAGTGATGACTTATGTTTGCTCGATTTGCTCTAATTCTACATCAACTAACATAAGAAAGCTGCAAACATTACAGAACAAAGTTGTAATTAACAAAGAACTAAACATGACTAATATTGAAGTATTCATAAAGATACATATTATTAACTTAAAAATTATGGATTATATAATAATAAAATAATAAGATAAAAAAATAAGCAATAAATCAATACCTTACTAGATGTTTCCAAAGCTTTTGATTCCATGTGGTTACAAAAATTCAATAAAAAATCCTTTTTTGCTGACGATATGTTAATAATGACTCAAAGTAGGAATGTTATTGAACAACTTTAACGCCTAAATTGGTCCATACGTTTTATAGTGCGCTAATGAGATCACTAATGACTTATGTTTGCTCTAATTATTCTGCAACTAACATAAGAAAGCTGCAAACATTACAGAACAAAGTTCTACGAATTAACGAAGAACTAAAAATGACTAATTGAAATATTCATAAAGAACGTGATGAAAACATCTTCAAAAACTCCATGTGGTTAAATTTAATCAGGAAGAAAGAATATTTATCACCGTCTAAAAAGAAAGTTGTTTTAGGATCTACTTTAGAATGTATTCCAGAGTTAGAATCACCATTATTGCAAATCCATTCAACTAAGATGCAAAATACATCAAGATACAATTATTTAGTGCTAGATTGTTGTATATTTTTATTGAACTAACAGTAACACTAAGGCCCGGTTTTACAATCATAGTTTAAGCGTCCGGTTAACTAATCGGCAGTTAAAATTTAAACTAAGTTTTACAAACATTATTTTTTACAACGAATTATTAAACTAAGTATAAGAAACGGAGGTACATATTCTCAACTTCATTGTTTAGTATCTTTCAAAATTATAACCTCTTAATATTATAAGAATAAGTATTTTGTAATTGTTTGATTTTCATTTTATAAAAATATTTTTTAACTATGAATAACATATTTAATGAACTTATGGACGATTAAGATTTCTTAGAAGTTGTTGAAATAGTGGCTTTTCCTAGAAAGGCAAAAGTTTTTCGTGAACGGTATAACCATTTTGAAAAATGGTCAGACCAAGAGTTTCTGGAACGTTTTAGACTATCTAACTTTAAGATTTAGGTTGTAAGGTCAATTTTAGATTAAATAAAGGAAGCTGTACAGTCGAAAACAAATAGGTATTAAGTATATACAAGGAATATAGCTTGGGAACTATGTTTTGGTGTGTTAAAAAGACGATTTCCAGTATTAGCTTTAGGAATTAAGTTACATATAACAAAAGTAGAGGCTATTATTATATCAACTGTGGTTTTACATAATATAGCCTGTACTCTAAGGAATGTGGAACCAGACAATAATGAAGACTTAGAAAATTTGATTCATTTTCAAAATAATGGCAATGATATGGTAATCGATGTGGAAAATAATAACTTTAGTACAAGGCATTCATTAATAAATGACTATTTTACAAACTTAATATACATTTTAATAAAAATGTCTACATAATAACGTATTTATTTCTTGTGGTTAACTCTTTTTTAATGATTATATCTTTGTTCGTCCTTTTTAATTTATTAGGTATACAAAATGTTAAAACAATTTTTCACTAGGCACAAATTGACAAATGTCAATTTGAAAACTGGCCACGCGTAAACTAAGTTTTGGCGCTTAAACGGTCGACGACTACTGGTAATGTAAACGTCGATTCTAACCGTAGTTTAATGTTAAACGGTAGTTGTAAAACTTTTTTTGTTAGTTTACCATAGATTAAGTTAATCGGACGCTTAAACTATGATTTTAAAACCGGGCCTAAACCAGTCCCCTTTCAAGTTCTAGGTTTAGTGTTAGTTCTAGTGATAGTATTAGATCTAGTTTTAGTTGTTATTCGACGTTGGGTTGTTGTATGTTTTTATTGAACTAAAGCTAGAACTAACACTAAACCTAGAATTAGAAATTTTGGGTTTAGCCGTCTTAAGAGCCGCACGGCTATACACCAATGTTTCTAGTTCTAGATTTAGTGTTAGTTCTAGTAATAGTGCTAATGTTTTTTAGTTGTTATTCAGCGCCAGGTTGCTGTATATTTTGGACACTTCGAAGTTATTTCTGAAGATGGTTCTACACTTAGTTCTAGTTTTAGTTCAATATAACTCATTAATTATAATAATTGTGTAAACAATACTATTTTGCTTCCTATTGAACGCGTGTGTACATGTTGTAATTAGCGCGCATGTGTGCGCTTCGGTGATAATGGCCAGGAAAAGTCCGGGATTATCTGAGCTGATGATGCAAATGGGTTAATTAGTGCTAAGTTCTACATAATATAGCTACTCTTGATGGGTTTTGTTAGGATGAAAATATCCAGGAAAAAGAATAGGTAGTACAAAATTTAATCTTGAAATAGTCTTGATGAAGAAGCAGAGTAGAAATCCAGTTGTAAATATAATGTAATCAAATAACTTCATAGAAAATTTGCAATTTTTCCGCATGATTCCAGGTTTCCTTTTTCCATTTTCATCTTTTTTTTTATAATATTTCACGTAACTCATGTTTTTTAGTATCAGAACAGGATTTCTTTTCTTGTTTCAAAGTATTCAAAGCATTTTTTTGCTTCTACTAGTTTTATCTCTTTCAAAAACCCTCCACTTATTTTCACAAATATTCAGTTATATAATAATAAAGTTTTAGAGCTGCAACCAATTTCTTCACTATCATTTTCTTATAGAACTAAAATCAGATTAATTAATAATTGAATTCAATTTAACTCACCTTCTAATCTATATTAATACATTCCAGGTATTGTTTTTGATTTCATAATTTTAGTTACTCGGGTACTCGGTTCTAATTCAAAATTTTTTGCACTCTTAATGCAGCATGTCCAGAGAGTTCTTTTTTTACAATTTAATGCTTTAGTAGTCGTGGCAGAAAATATGATCTTCTAAAAATTCAAATCGAAGCATTCAAAAATCTTTTTGCTGATCTTGTGAGCATTGTACGTTGGAAATTAGAATTCTCTTAGTTCTAATAATGATGTTTGGGTTGGTTTAAGTTGAGTTGAAATGCGCTTATTAACAACAATTTTTGTACTCTCAATGTAGAGAGAATTTTTGCAAAAATTTCTGACAAATGTTTCAAAAATCACTTTTCTTATTTTGCCAATGTTGTACGTTGGCAATTAAGATTCTCTTAGTGCTAATAATGATGTTTGGGTTGGATTGAGTTAAGTTGTATTCAAACATGCTATAAGTGTATTAATACAAGCTGTATCTTCTTCTATGATAAATTTTAGAGCTCATCTAAATCAATAACAACTATAATTATTAGTCAAGCGATATTAGTTATATTTAATAAGACACAAATTGCTGTTATATTTTCTTTTCATTTTGTAAAATTCGTGAACTTTGCAAAAGAAATAAAAGAAACTGTAAAAAAAGATTTAGAGATGTAAGGTTCCGGTAGCCAATTCTCAGACTTTAAAGGTTAAATTTACATCTCTAACAAAGAAGAATTCAGAAGGCAATTTTGACACAACGACGGTCTTCGTTGCCGGAGTCCCCCTTTTACATTCTCTAGGTGGGGAGTCGATTATTGATTATCCGCCGACCATTTTGTGCGCCCCAGCGTTCCGGATCCAAATCGTGCCGGCCAATCGCATTCCGGAATCCACCCGGATCGAGGGCGTGTTCTCGGTGGTACTCTCGGAGGGGGCACACAACAAAAATTATCGTTCGTCCGAGTTTTGCCGAATCCTCCTCACTGCTATCAGTACTCCGTCGACTATCAGATATACCGGGTGTACATGTGATCTCGTTAAAAAAAAACCGGCATTGTATAACTGCAAACAAAAAAAAAAACATTAACCTTTAATACTTATTTTAGTGATAATTTTCGAAAGATAAACTGAATTATTATCTTCAAATTTTAATTTATGTAAAACTTGTTTTGCTAAATAAAAAACGTGTTGTTAAATCGGATTTTGAGAGACTGATTTTTTTTTTATGATATAAAAGAAGGTTGTTGTAGAGTGGTTAAAGTGGTGAAACGAAACTAAAAGAAATTGTAAATTTTTGGAAGAGAAAGGAAAAAGAATTTTTTGTTGTGACGCTTTTAAAACGATTCTGTTCGTATGGTGATGTCAGAGCAAGGAGGGTTGGCCATGCACCAACTACCGATGCACCACCGTGTGCAACCAAGTCTCGTGATGAATCCTCATCCATTGAGCGACTCCTGTTCTATTGAATCACAAAATAGTAAGTTTTTCAATATTACATCGGAAGTCTACAATATGATATTTTACATAGCTTGTATCGGAAGTCATTTAGATTTGGCACAAACTTTATTATGTAATGTGAATCTAGTTTTACGCGGTAAATAAATTTATTATGTTGTACGTGCAAATTGCATCAATATCAGAAATCATTGCTGTAGCCCAGTATCTGACGCAGATTGTATTATGCAATAACTTCAGTTGTAAAAGTGAATCATGCATTGATGTAATTTATGTTTAACACTACACGTTAATATTAAAAGTTCTAATTATTCCCAATTTATATTGATTAAACTCGTTTTGAAGCATACTTGAAGCATTAACACTAATCTGCATCAATGGAATAAGTTATTTAGTTTTTACTAAAACATAAATGTTTTGTATTAGCTTGTATCATTGTAAGAATCATTTAGATTGTTGGTACTATCTGATATAAGTTGTCTTATGTAATCGCTGTAATCATCTAAGAGTGTCTTTATGATGCGAATAAATGTCATTTTTTGATGCAATTTATGAGTGATGTTGGATATCAATTTTAAAAGTCTAATTTATCTACAATTATTTGCAATTTGATTGCTGTAGAGGCTTAAATGTTACATTGTGACAAATATGTTTGTATCTTAACTTGTATCAGTATACAAATATCTAATTTAACAAATTCCTTAGTTATTGCTTATTTTTAAAAATCGTTTTTTAATTTTATCAAAAAATTGATCTGATAGTTCATGTTTTAGCGGCAAAACTTTGTGATTTAGTTTTGTTCTTTTTGTCTTGATCATCTCAACACCTCTTACAGCTTTTCATCCCGTATTTCGATCGCTATTCTTCTCTATTCCTCCATCCATCTTCTGGTAAGGCTCGATCAATCAGTCTCTCTGATCCCTTGAATCCAGGATGAATTTGGTCTTTTTCTATTTTGAGATATACATCAAGTCCTTTTTTTACCTATCGGTGCCAACTATTTTGCTTGTTCGTTGTGACTTTTCCTAGTGCACTACCAGTATTGCGACTGGATGTCAAAATTGTATGTTAAAATTGGCTCTAATACTTGACTATACTAAGAAATTTTGCATATGAACACTTCTTCGAGCTTGTTGAGCCCTGTTCTGGATATTTTTAGCTTATGTTTCTTCTTACATAATTAAGCTGCGCAAATATATTTATTGCATCTTCCTATTTTGTTGTTAGTTGTAGCTCAGGTATCATGTCCTATTATATTTTTATATTCTATCTTATCCATATTGATATTCAGCCTCCACTCTTACTCTTCCATGAGTTTCCTAAACAAACTCAATATCACACTCATTATTTCCTGCAACAACTTGGTCTTCAGCAAAGAAAAGGGTTGTCATTTTCGAGACTTGTCTTCACATTAGGAACATGTTCCAGTCTTGATATCCTCTTTGCTCTTCTTAGTTTCATCTGTTGAGGTATCATTTCCCATTACATTTTTATATTCTGTCTTATCCATATTAATATTAAATCTTCACTTCCGATACTCCTCCATGAGATTCATTTTCACACTCTTCATTTGCTACAACAACTTGGTCATCAGCACATTAAAAGGTTGTCATGCTTTGATCTTCCATCTCTATACCCATTTTCGATGATTGTTTTCTCCATGTTTTCAGCACTTCTTGGATGTATATTTAAATTTTTTTAATTTGTTTCTTATTGCAATGCTATTCTTGCTTAGGTTAAGATCCCTGTTGATGTAAGTTTGCGATCTAAAAAAATGATATCATCTCAATTTCACTAATAAATGTTTAGTAAATTTTTTTTATTATATAAATTTTAGAATTTTACCATTTTAATGTTAATATGAACTGTCTTAACGATTGCTTCAAAAACCCAAGCTTGGTCTAGCTTCAAATATATCAACAAATTACTCGATGGTGTAGTTTGGAGGTTGTATTTTTTCTTTTTGTACTTGATGTCATGTTTTCAATCCTTTGTTGGATGCTGACGTTGTGTTCTTACTTCTTCCTGGGTTCCTGCAATAACATCCAGCTTTTTATATAACTTAGTCATCCACACATAATATTGTCTCCTCCTTATTAAATATAAGCACAAGGATATAAGTACACCCAAAACGATTCTATCCATGTAGATACAGTTTATACATTGTATGGGGTAAATACATAAAATGTAAATTAGAATAAAAACAATACTTTTTCTGGTCCTTATATTTATTGTCTAACCGGTTTCGGCTTACGCTATCATCAGAGACTCTATAATAAGAATCGTTATTACAATTAATATAATATAATTAAAGTTAAAATGGAATGCATGTACTTACTTAAGAATATATTATTAAAATTTAACAACATATGGGATTAATCTTGTTGCACATATACATATATGGCTCATTAAAAATACACGTTATAAGTTAAAAATGAGATAAAGAGATAATCTTTGGTGGCGTAAGCAAATAAAAAAATAGAAGGACCAGAACTACTGTTTTTATTCTAATTTACATTATATAAAATAACTGGTCGATATGGATTAAACCTTCTCATCTAATTAAAAACATACAATTAAATATAAGATATATACAAATGGACTACATGATCTGCCATCAGGAAGATTTTCTTCTCTTTGCCATATAAACAACTCAATATGTATTAATGCTAATGTGATCAAAATAGAAAGTGTGATCTAAGAAAATAACATGTTCTTAGGTTCTGTAATGTTGATAGCTTATTCGTCGATTTATCATCATTTAAAAAAATCTGTTTAGTCTAATTGTGGTACAAAAGAAAATATTTTTCTTCAAAGATTCATCTTTACTAAATTTCCCTCTAAATGTTGGTGTTCATTAAAATTAGCATTGTCTAACCTGGTACAAAGTGGAAGCCGCAAAGAAGTTGATATTTAGCGCATCGCCAGCATTTTCGCCTCCTTCAACATCACAGATTAAAGCTGTTTTTTAGTCTATTTTAAATTTAATTAGTAAAAGGTAATCCACTAATTTCCACCTCAACTAATCAAATATCACGTTTTATGATTAATAGTGCAGTTTGGACTTTATATTTAAAATAACAAACTTGAATTCTACTTTTGATAAACCGGAAGTAGTACAAAAATGTTCCATGAAAAAACTTGGGTTTATTATAAACATGATTACTGATGATGGCAATATGTTGAAACCGGTAAAATCTTAAAAACAATATCTCACCAATAAAATTATTTTTTTTATTATATTCTTATGATTAATTGGTTATAATAGAAATCTCCCGCATCTATTTATTAATTAAAATTAAACAGTTTGGATTTTTTTTCTAAAATAAAACTGCAACTAGCAAATTATTTATGTATTGTTACATATAGAGTAAATTAGCAAAGTTCTAAGCAGATCAACTCCGTATCAAATTTCATCATTTTCAAACTGCATAAATTTCGAAATAAATCCAGGAACATTGCTTAGACAACGAATTGAATGGGTTTATTTGTTACTTTTTCTAGCACATTTTACTGACAGAGATTTAGATCTTAACAAGATCCACATCAAACATTCATCTACAACATTATAAATATCTCTATTCAATTTAAGCAGCCTCTTTCAAACGATAAAATTCTTCTAAATAAGTATTCTTAAAAATTGCAAAATGATGTCATGTGATGTCACTTGATCAATAACAAGTTGCCATGTCATATATCTGTAGCAACTGGTATCCGCCAGTTATCTAATTTAATGTCCAACATAATCAAATCTATACGAATTATTCTTCTTACGCAGAAGATACTATAACTAAATATTGGTATTCCTGTTAAATTATAACATTCAAAAATTAAACAGATTTAGAAGATCAGCTTATGCTACGTTCAAGTTCAATACCCAATTCCCAACAGGTACTAATTTAATAGCTTTCCCCATCGATACATCGTGTTCAGAATCTGTTTCGCTCTCCAGACGAGAGCTAAGCACAACTGCCCTATCAAAATAGATTTAATTTTTAATTTAGTTAAAACATTGATCTTGTTTCTGAAATAGGTTGAAACATGACAAAATTTTAGTTTTATTTCTTACATCAAGAAACTTTTCTTCTTCTATGTTATATTAAAATGGACAATGTGTGTACCAAAGAAAGAATAACAAATTACATGGAAAAAATAAATATTTAAGAAATTCGAAGTGATTATGTTCTGTTTCGTTTCCTTTTTTAATGTCGATTGTAATTAACGATTTCCGATTGTCGACTTCTATTTTGTATATTTAATTTTAATCTAACGGTGTTAGAAATCGCCCATCCTGTAGAGCTAAATAAAATTAGCAATTATAATACTAAATAAAATTAGTGTGTTGAAGATAATATTTTTGCGTATCTAATTTTTGGTTTGGCCTATTTTTGAAACACATTTGTCCCATTAGTATTCTACAGTGGGGTTATATATGTTCCAATGGTGCTTTTTTTGGTAAAAGTAGAAAAGTTTATTCAAAAGCGTCTTCTTAGGTGTGATATGGTTTGTTTATGTAAACTCTGGTATGAATTTCAATTTTCCTCTTAGCACATTTGAAGCATCTTTTACGAGCATTATCTTGCAGTGGTAAATGGTCTCCTGCATTATACACGTGTCTAGATAAAATTGATGGTTTTTGCAAGGTTGCATTTCTTCATCGATAAATTCTTCCGGCAAATCAACCAAGAACTTAGCATTTATTACTGGACGTTTTCTTCATGTTTATGGTCATCTTTCTTTGATACACTGATTTTCCAATTTTTTTGTACTAAAATATCCATGATTATAGATTTCGTTATTGTATGCGCATATTACAAGCTTATCTAATCAACCCCTTTGTTTCTAGAAATCCAGGTTTAGTCTCTTCGAACCTAAATATGAAACATTTTCTATATTTTTCCCATATTTAACTGATGAATAATCTAAAGAATACTCACAACAGTGTTACAACAAAGCTGGTTAATTTTGAAGAAATTTTGACAATTTTCCTGACAATTGTTCTGAATAAATGATTTTTTGTTA